CTAAGCATCAATTAGCTATAGCAGATTGAATGCATGTAGCTGCAAATAATGGTAAATCTTGATTTTAAATGTCTTAAATATAAGAAAGTGCACTATCACATATTGAGAAGTGTAGAGACGGTAGCTCGTTCATCTAATCAACACTTCGCTGTGATTTTCCTGATTCTGTTGCCTTCTAGATGTAACTTTACCATGGGCTGATAGAGAGTAGCTTCAGTAATTCTGGGCATCACATGCAGACATTAAAATGTTTAGGAGAAAGAGGTCACTTTTCTTCTTGCAAGTCTTTTTCATGCAAAAATTACTCCCAGAAGCTTTTCTGGGTTTTCAAATCACTCATGCATTATATGTCAATGCATAACTATTACCAGAAAAGCAATTATCCTGACAGTCATACATGATTCAGGATCTGCTTTTGGAAGCAGAAAATTATACAAACTTGGTGTTGTTAGAATAAAGGGGAAATTGATTGTTTTGTTGGTATAATCTGTTTTATTCTGATCTTCAAGTTGGGGGAGGGAATCCAGAAAACTACAAGCCTTAGCAAAAGAAAAGAAGTATATATTAGATACAAAATCAATTTACAATGGGGCTGGCGAGACAGCTCAGTGGACTAAGTGCCTGCTTGGGCAAGTGCAGGGACCAGGGTTCAATATCCAGTCCTGCATGGCAAGCTGGACCCATCCCCGGAGCGTGCTGAGCCTGAGACTGAGTCCAGGTGTAGTGGTGCATGCCTGTAATCCCAGAGCTGGGGATGCTAAAAACAGGAAGATCACTATGAGTCCTAGCTACACAGTGAGACTCTGTACCAAATACATAGATGAATAAAAGTTATATTCATATATATATATATTTTTTTTTTTTATTTTATTTTATTTATTTATTTTTTTAATCTATGGGACCTGGAGTTGAAAGATTTGCTGTAAGGGGATATTTCCAGAGGGGAAGATAGTCTGAAAAATTACTATTAAATTTTTTCATTACTCTTCTCTCTAAATATCTTAAACACAATGTCAGAGAAAAGACTATTCTTTATTAATCTAAATTGTAATTCTAATATGCAGATTTTATAAAGCAAATTCTCAAGTATAGTCAGGGTTCCTGAAGCTCATCTAAATCGACTTGGGGACATTTTCAAACTGTGGTTTCGTCTATGCAGACTATACAGAGTCATGCGATAATGGCCTTTTGAAATATTAAGTCTTCTATGTATGATAGAGGAATCTTGCTGATTTAATGCCTCTAATCAGTTTAAATAGGAGAGATTATTCCAGATAATCTAAATGTGCATGACTCAATTCATCAGAACATATTAGAAGTAGGGCTGAAGTTCCCCTACGAGACAAAAGAAAATTTTCCTCTGTAGCATAGCTTTCGTTTCTCCCTATGCAGTTCCACCCTGCTCAAAAATCTTCCCTTCCTAACAATCTTGCTACAAGATTTCAGACTTGCTTAGCTAACAAGTGTGAAGGCCATTCCTTATAATAAACTTAATACAATATACATTTCTAGGGCTGGGGAGGTAGCTCAGCAGCTTAAGCACTGGTCTAGCAAGCACAAGGTCCTGAGTTCGCTCCCTGGTACCAAAAATAAATAATAATGGTTTAGGAAAAAATTTAACCACTAACACATGTTTCTGTGTGTGTGTGTGTTTTTTTTTTAATTATTTATTTATTTTTATTTATTGTGTGTGTGTGTGTGTGTGTGTGGCCAGCTCAGCCCACCAGGGGGCAGGGCTGGCTGGCATGTGGTGCTGGGGGATCGAACCGCGGTCCCTGTGCTTTAGCCAAGCTTGTTTCAAGTAGGTGCTTTAGACCACTGAGCCTGTTTCTGTGTGTATATGCATTTTATTAGCTTTGACTCTCTTGTTGCAGTCTAATTGACATATACCACAGTAAAGAAGGTGAATTTAGAAGTAATTAGACTAAACTGGGAAAAATATGTTGTATTTACAGGTATGCGTGTATGCTCACCTAATACTCTTTTAAAAATTACAGAGAGTCAAAGAGTGATATAACACCAAACTAAGACAGTGGTATAATACTATATATATTTATCATCTTCTGGCTAGAACTACTATTTCATGTCAGAGTCAACATTTATGAATGAAATCACTATGCATTTATTTCTCTAGACCACAAAGAACAGGTCTGGAAAATTTTATTGATGTGCTGTAAACCTTTTAAAAAAGTGAAGATCACTGCTCTAAGTACTATATGACAGAAAATAAGAATTCCTTTTGTACAATTATTGTAAGTTTATTTTTACTTTTACACTTAGCAGAATAGTGAACACTATTAAGAAATGAATTTCACATGCTTTAGTATATAGCACTACAGTTTTATCAGCTAAAAGGCTATTTAAAAGGGATTCCAAAATGAAAAAAAAAAAAATTACATAAAAGGTGAGCTAGAAAAAAAAGAAAAAAAAACCAAAAAACCCTACAAACTGCAATATAGAACATTGCCAAAAAGAACATGTACACATTTACTGATTTCATCCAAAATCAGTTAACAGGTTCAGTTCAAACTGACATATAACCTAGCTGTATAACCAGCTGTTGTTCTTTACTTCTGATCAAGCAAAATTCCCAGTAGCAGCAAAAGTCCCAGCAGTAGCTAAAGCAGCAGCCAGCAATTTATTACAGCATAAGACTGTAGCTTGCATAACACTTACTTTCCCAGGAAGTCCCAAACAAACCCCCCTGATGATGCAGGGACAGAAATCTGGTGTGGAGGATACAATTTGCGGGAGACTTGCTCTCTGAGAAACAGCATGGCCACGGGGCAGAGGCGACACACATATAAACACAAAGACATCAAAACCTCAATGGAGTAGGACCATGACAAGACAAATCAAAAGATGATGAAACCCAAATTATAGGGAGACAGACACTCACATAGGAAACAATATAATGGCAACACAAGAAGCAAATGGTTAGTAAGAAACAGCAGCCACACACATGCATCTCAGTACTAAATCTGGAGGGAAAAGCATGATATGATCACAGCGATCTTTAACATAGAATATACTGATTACTTCCTAGAATAAGCACAGCTCAATTTATAAAAATGGCATTTAAGGGCTAAATGGAATGAAAGTCTACTGTAGTTTTCATACAAAATGTAACAGTATGTAAGCCACTTTTGCTTAAGAAACTTGGTCAAGATTGAGCAAAAGATAAATCTCATAAAGTAGGGAGTGTTCAAAGAATAGTTTCTAGCAGATCTAAAAAGAATATAATTAATCTTGGCACAAGAAAAAACAAAATTGAGCAGAAACTTCAAAATCCCATCCTATTAACTCTGGCTCAACCACTGAGTAATTTCAGGGATAATTTCTCTGGCCTCTGTTTTCCTCTTCCATAAAATACCATAGGAGAGCTCTTTTGTAAGTTATGATTCTGTTTATTCAACATCCCAATCTATGTTGCTGAGTACCAATAACAAAGCTAAAAACAAAACTGGAGTTAAAGCAGCTTGGTTTTGCTTTTAGATTTTGTTTTGTTTTGTTTTTATAGGCAAGAAGCTTTGTTAAATCCTGAAACAAAATTATACTGCTGTAGGATGAGAAGACAGAACTGAATAGTATCTTCTCCAACTTATTAAAAGTTGTATTCTGTGAAAAGAGTAGATCATTTATAACTTTCTTAAAATACCATGAATACAGTGGCTGACACAAAGCACTACAGTACTTGGGGTAGTTTGGATAAAAGCTATTTGGATATATTAGGCATAAATTTCTCAAAAAAGCACTTGGGCCAAAACTGAGTTAAAAAAGGTTTTTCAAGCAATAGCAAGCAATAATTTCAAATATAGGCTTCCAATATATTAAAGAAAAAATTAAAAAATGAAACTTTCTCAAGGAAATGCTTTTCTTAAATATACTTTGTAGGATATGAGTAATAAATCAAAAGTATAATATTTATGTAGCAGTGCTACTCATTTCAAGACCATATAAAAGCAAAGAGGTATGTATTACTTTAAGAATATAAGGAAAAATGTGTGTGCCTGGGAAAGGGCACAATGTAAAGATTAAGACAAAAAAATACATGTAGTCTATAATCTTGAGTTTCTGGTAATTTTAGAATTCTGATTTATAGAATGTTATCCATTTTTCAAGCTGGAACTGGAGACGGTGAAGAGAATATTAACAGTATAAAAATTAGGAAAAAAACAGATAAAAACAAATGTTATTCACACTTTCAGAACAGTGAAAAACTGTGAGAGTTGGACTTTGTTGTTTCTATAGGTAACAACAAATCCTATAGGTGCATAACAGCAGAAATTCTCAGAAATAACTTCAGAGAAAAGTATCACGTCTATCAGGAACCCCGAAAAATTAGTAAAGAAATGATGGGAGGAGTCTACTACTTCCAAACCTTCAAGAGAATAAAAAAGTATGTCTAATATTCAATGCCCAAGAAACCACAAAGATTAGTGATTTTTTTCTATCTTGCTAACTAACATGGTTAATTAATGGAGTTCTAACGGAAGAGCTTTCTGAATGTACTTGTAAGTTTATGTTAAATCTATGATATAAAAGAAGTTAAGATACATATACTTGGGGCTGGGGAGGTAGCTCAGTAGAATAAGCATTTGCCTGGCAAGCGCAAGGGCCTGAGTTCAATCCCCGGTTCTGCCAAAAAAATGAATAAATTAAAAATTAAAAAAAATACATATACTTGACTTCCAGTATAAGTAATTTTTAAAATATGACAAAATTCAAAGACAGCTACCTGGCAGGAGCTATTCAAACAGCCTATTCTGAATAATTTTAATTCAGAGCCACATAAAAATCACATTTGAGCCTCCTACGTTATCCCTAAATGTCCCTCCTTCTCTTAGTTTGTTTCTCCACACTAACAGAAATAATAGGCATTCCAGAACCTAAACTCAGAGGGAAATAATGCTAAAACAAGTGTATTCTCAAAAGTGCATAGTTATAAAATATTTTAATTTTTCTAACACAGAGAGTCTCATTCAGCTTTCTTTTCTTACCTTTCCAACTCAGCTATCTTCTTATCTTTATCATTCTTCTCATTTTCTACCTCCTTCAAGATTTCCAAGAGGCGGTCAACCTCTGTCTGGGCCTTGCTGGATTCATCTTTATACCTAGAAATCTCTCTCTCCAATTGCTGTATCCGGTCACTCATCTCTGGACTGGCTCTGGCTTCCAAAGTGGCCTCGTGTGCCTACAAGAAAAATTGTTCAGTGTCTACCAGATACATACAGTGGCAGTGAGCAATCCAATATGGAAAGAACTATTTACGTTTCTATTTAAACAGTCAATATCAAATACAGATACTGCAAATATGATGCAATGAAAATGAAATTGGGTTAAGGAGATAGCTACTACCATATAGGTACCTCCCTAATGCAAGTGTTCAAAATCTTATAAGACAACATGGCATAAACAAATGGAGTAAGAAATCAAGAAACACTTAAAACTAAGAAAAGTATTTTTATTTAGAATCCTTTTGGCAAAGGCACCTAAAATCATAGATGTGTTTTGGAATACAAAGTACAATCAAGAACTTAGAAACTAATTTTTGACTTCTTAATTTTCCTCCTGAATCTCTAAAGCCATGCATATATAATGTATTTAATGAGGAGCTAAAGCTAAAATGTTGAATTTTTCCTTACTGAATAAACAACAAAATACATTAAATGCCTATTTTTGAAAGAAATATTAAAAGCTATAAGGATAAATCTTAGATAAGATAAAGATGTATCCTAGAAAATACTTTAGAAAACTCCAATGCAAAGTACCCTAAGTAAATGAAAATCATGTATAAAAACGGACCTAAATGCTTTATGAAAGTTAATAGAAATACTCCTAAGATTAAATGCTTTACCATGCTTTAACTTTCTTTAAAACTTCATACCTGGAGGAAAAAAACATTTGTCTCTCTTAAACACTAGCTTTCCTATCCCTGAACTTAGTTGTGAAATGTATGGGTCTTTTGTTTGTTTGTTTTTGCAATAAAGAAGCCCTTACTAACGCCCTCTACTCCTATACATTTTGTTTTCGTGAAATGTATTTGAAGAAACAAAAACTCTGCAAGTTTGGAAGGTAAAGAGATCACTGCTCTGTAATTAGGTGTTCTCCACCATCTAAAATCATCTGTTTCACACTGTTTTGTCAGTTTTGGAGTTAAAGGTAAGAGGGAAGTTCTGGTGCCTGTTAGCATTTTATGGGAAAGAGAATGCTACAATTTTTAAAAACAGAAAATCACTATGAGGAATAATGAGATCATGAGTTATTTTATAGAAAACTGATCATATTCAGACATCAAAGTGGGGGAAAACTATTGAAAGAAAGATACTAAAGATGTAAAATATGCAGAAATAAATGTATCTCACAAAGAAAAGAGGTGACGAAATAGGCAATAAACAGCTTAATGAGGTAGAAAAAAAAGACGACAAAACAAACCTAGAAGTAGCTGTTATTCACCAACTGCCAATGAGATAACTCTGATTTATAATAACTTATTATATATGTATTACTTATAATTCCACAAATATAACTATTGCACTTGGGTGTCCTGGGCCTTCATACATGCCAATGTGTCTCACCTTAGCAAATGTCCCTTGTGTAAGGACGTCCATTGCAGCCCTGACCTAGCCTGGTGCTCTCTAATGTGCACCTCCACACACCCCTTGATTTGTTACAACCTCCTACCTGAGTGCCTGCTTTTCCTGACACAAACTACACATTCCATGAGACGAAGGGACAGGTCTCTTTGATTCACCACTATATCCTCAGTGCACACCTATGGTAACTCACAGAACACAAACTCAACTATTTGTTGGACAAATATGCATTTTCCAGGCATTGGGATAGTTTGTCTTTTATTGAAAACAGCCCATAAGCTTAAGTAGTATGTAAAAAAAGAGTACTTAAAAGAGGAGAAAAATTTCAGTAACTATATGAGTGCAAGGTTAAATATAGCCCACTAGATCATTCAGATTATCAAATGATAAACTTCCAGGAATAAGATAAATCGATTAAGGACTGGCCATGCTCAGCAGATTAAAGTGCCTGCAAGCAGGTACAGGGGCCAGGGGTTCAATCCCTGAACCTGCCATGCTGGCCCTGCCCCCAGGGC